GTTAATAACAGGTAGTGTCGATTAGAGGCCTCTTTTATCGGTATTTTGATGTTGGAAATACCACGTTGCTTTGACAACGGTTTATTAGACGTCAAAAACCGTTTTTGCACAAAACTTTTTTTAAATTAATCGTTTTGATAATTTTTTAATATTCTACCTAAATACTGCTTTTAAAAGTTTATTTATACTTTACAATAACTACGGTTTTTAACTCGGGTAATACATATTGTTGTGTTTCCAACTATATTTAAGAACTATTTTTAATCAAGCAACTTTTCAATTGTACTTGATATATGTGCGTTAAACATCGCAGATGTTTGGATGGGCACTTGGCAGTTTTTCATTTATTCAAGGAGCAGGAAAGAAATATTAGACTTTTACGAGACATACGAATTTATTAAAATTTATTATGGCATCCTATTCTTTCGAGGCGAATATATATTTTATTATATATATCATTATATTTTAATTAAAAATTGTAAAGTTTGTTCGGTAAAATATGTTTTTTTTTTAAATTTTAAAAGGTATAAGAAATGCTAATACACTCTGCTTCAAAAGTTTTATAGAAATTTTATACCTACACCTAACGTAATGTTTTAGTAAATATACAAAGTTAAACTAAATTTGATTTAAATTGATTTGAGGTATTAAAATAAAATTCAATTTTTAAAAGCCTTGTTGTGTAGATGGTGCACTTTCATCGAAAGAATCTATATATTTATTTGGTAACTAATCCAAACATACCAAATATACTATGTATGGTTGGTTGCATATATTTAATAGTTTTAATTTTAACATTTACAAAGTATCTAATGTATTATTTGCTTAATGTTATTTATGTTTAATAACTTTTAATATCAAGTATAAGTACTTGGATGGTCCCTTGTCAGGGTGGTTATATCAATTTTATCGATTTTTTTTAAATTAAAGTAGTCATTGTAACAGGTTGATGGACACAGACAAATTTTTGGCGGGACCTGCTGCGTCACTTGAATAATTTATACACCTTTTATCCTATCATCAAAAAATTTTACCGGTAACTTGATGATGCCTTTAGGGCTGTATATTGCCTTTAAAAAAGTTTGACGGCAATAGCCGTCATGCCCCACTATGAGATTTTTTACAAAAAAAAGGTGTGGTGGGTCATGACGGTCATAACCGTCCATGTTTTTTTATTTCTTCTTATCCATAATGGTAGTATAAAGTCACTGGTGAACAAATTATACTTTAATAATGACAAAAAGTCTAGATTAAAATTTAAATATTTATTTTTAATCTCAACGATACGGTATATACCTATAAATATCTATAAATACTTATAATTTATAAGTTATAAAATACCTATAAATAATATTAAATTTATTTTATAAAAATAAATTGCGTTTTTAGGACGAGAAAAAACATTTTAACGATAAAAATATAGTTATAGAAGTTATATAGTGATAAAAAATAATATAATTGTTCAAAAACTTATAATTACTAGCTTTGTTACATCAAAATTTTACTCCACCTCACAACAATCAAATTTTTACTCCACCTAACAACAATCGGTCACAAAAACGGCCGAATTTTAGGTTAAGAATCGCGCTTAACAGAAACTCAAATAAAAATTAATTTGCAACCAACTACATTCTGCAACCAAAAATACATGAGGTCTCATGGGACACATATGTCAGAGCTTCCTATGGATCTCATTATTATTGCGCCTGCATATGCAGGCTTGTCATAAATCAGCTAGAAAATTGTGACTGCTATAGCCGTCGTGTCATATTGGGCCCGACGGCATTTGCAGTTCTGTCCTTGAACGTTTAATAAGGTGCTCATTGTAAAACACTATTTGTGTATATTGTGCAACAAGTGAAGCAAATGGTGAATTACGAACAAGCATTCGTTTGACACACGAGCAAAGCGAGCGTGGCAGAAATGTAAGAGCAAAAGTTTTACATAATATTTTGTCGCACAATCAAAATCAAAAATTAAAAAAAAAAAAATGAAACTTTATTCATGTACGAAGTGCTACGGTATTATTGAAATATTATGTGTTTTGGTGTTGAGGTTAAATTTTCTAATATTGTGTTTAATGTTTGTTTGGAATTATTATCCTTTAAAATATTATTGTTCCACTAGTGAAATCTTATTTTTATTATTTAACTAGTATGTTTTGTTTTGTTTTTGAGATTGTGGGAAAATATTTTTTCTATTTGCTTTTCACAAAAAGTGACACGTTTGGAAGTCCAAGGTGGGACATTGTTCTTAAAACTGTCACCTTTAAAGTCAGATTCAAAATTATATTATTAATATATTAGTAGGTATATTATTTAATGATAGCTATTAAATGTCATAATAAGTGCAAGTGTCTTGATAGCCCATTAAATGAAAGTTGCATAAACTATTTTTTACGACCATCATAATAAAGTATAAAGTTACACTCTAATTCTGAAATATTTCGTACCTTTTTGTTGATCTTACGGGTAATAAGTTGTTTGAAGCTTTTGCAACCTGTTACAATTTTTGGCGGGGTCAAATTCATCATCGCACATATTTACTTATTTTAACTTTAACTAAAAAATTTAGTCTAATTTTTTATGTATAGAGTAAAATTGATAAATATTAGATCTGATGCAAAACGTGGTACAGTGGTTTAGTAATTAGCTTATATCTTCCACAAATTATATACAACTGTTCCAAGTTTGGTCAAAATCGCAGATGTCGAGGCAGATATGTCAGGTTTGGTGCGTTTTGCCTCATCTGTCAGATGTCCAAGGCAATAGTTGATATTCATAAAATATTGCCCTGTACCGCAGTTTTATTGGTTAACATTGACGTGTATTGCATTTTTATTGGTTAAAAATCTGTATCTCAATGAATTCCCCAGTAGCAAAAAGATATTGGCCCAATATTCATAATAAATTGGGCCAATATATCTTTCGTCAGATTTTTTCTAGCATGGTCCAATATTGAAACTTAACATTGGCCCGAAGTTGTTTGACATTATAACCGATATTGGAAATCCGCATTGGCCCGAAGTCGTGTACCGTCTATGTTATTCTTAATTACGATGAAATGCTAAAATCGTTTGTATCGTGTGCTAAAATAACCAGCTTGAGCTTTATTAACGTAATAACAAATTTTATTGCTAATAAGACAAGAAATCGCATATTACCCTTGTTATTCTTACGGTAATATGCAAGAATGACCTTTATTATTGTTAATTTAACTTTCACTCTGTATTAAAATAAATTTTACCTGGTGTAAATTGAACTCCTTTTCAGTGTTAAATCATTGAGTAAAGACACACTTTACTCAATGGTTAAATATTATGTGTTTGTGGTCAAATTAAATCATACTACAAAGAAAAAAGGAAAAAAAAAGGAAACAGGAAGTTCCTTCACGCATTACTAGTATATTACCAGTGGTATTATTCCAGAAAATGGAACCTTTAACTTCCACTAACTTAAAATACTTCAAGTATTGACAGCTGTTTCCACCTATTTAAGGTCTCTTTAGTATCGAACAACTTGTAGTGTCACTAGGGTTGCCACCCGTCCTCCTTTGTGAAGGACAGTCCTCTTTTGATAAGATCATGTCCTTCGTCCTCCTTTAAATGAAATTTGTCCTCCTTTCTATGTATTTTATTGTGCTCTGACAAAAATATTTTTCTCGGTAAACCAATAAAATAACAGGCTTGCAAACAATAAAAAATTATGTTGGCCGGTATCTGTATAATTGGTTGCCTAGTTCTTTTTAAAATGCGTTATGAATATTCACTGGGAAGTTTCTTAGATGGTGCTTGGAATGAAGATTCCTAGAATGAAGAGGATTATTCCTAGATGATAGGGCATATTTCTGGAATATTTTCGAAGCTTCATTGCAGTCTGGGTTAATTACTAGGTATATTATTATATTAATCTGACTGCAATATTGCATATGCATATGCATATGCTGTTTTGTTTTTGTTATAAAAATGTGTTTATTTAATATTAGGTAGGTATAATAGGTAGTTATTAGTTTAATGTTCTATTTAATAAAGTTAATATTGCAAGGGATCGGTCCATGGTCATTTCTGTTGAACTTGTTTAGATATTGGCAACGCCCCCTTTTTTTTGGAAAAATTTTCGCGGCGGGCTTTTTCCATGTTCTCCAACCCCAAGCTTAAAAGGTGGCAACCCTTAACCTGAGCTTATATATTCTTCATGTAAGTCAACAGAGGCGAGATTTAAGAACATCACGTGATCCACACCGCCTTTGCCGCGATCGGTACACATTTTCAATCATAATTCATGGTGTTATATTAACACCACTTGGTGTTGGATTTTGACACCATTTTAAGATTACTTTTTACACCACAGGTATTTTAAACAGTGTAGTATAGACATATTCTGGAAACAAACGTGTGTCGTTACATATCACTTTTAGAAATCCGAAAGCATCGCTGACTATAGTTAATGATATATTGGTGTAAAATAATATGCCAATATAGGACCAACCTTGGATAAACATTGGCAATGATATATTAAATTATCATTTTATGCCAATATAGGGCTAAATAAATCCAATATTGGCCCCAGATAAAATATTGGGCATAGACGTGCCCCATATAGGACCAATATTTTGTTCTACTGGGGTTGTGTCATAATGAATCTCATTATAGCACAGGTAGAAAATGTCTGATAAACGAATTAAAGGAAAATAGAAGAATTTAAATATGTTATGTAAATTAAAATGTTTAACTATAAAATTACAAAACTAAACATATTTTTTTTATATTAAATTTTTAAAATGAAAAAGTTTCGAATCACTTTTTATAATATTTTTACATCTGTGAACAATGCCCTAAATATAAAAGTTCTTGTAAAAAAATGCGTCAAGGTGTTTTAAAACGTACTATAGTGTGACGTCATGCTTGATCACAAAAGTTTTCAAGTTTTTTTCAGTTTTTTAAGTTTGAATGTATGGTAAAGGTTAATATTAATAAATAAAAATTATGTTTTATATATTTTATTAGGTTAAAAATGTATAATTACAACATTTTTTTGTCATCCAAATACTTCAACAAGTGAATAATTCTTCTATTTACAAAACTATTGCTAACTTCACTATCAAAAACATCATATATATGACCATCCTTGTTCGCCAATAAAGCTTCCATACTCTCAACATTTTTTTCACTTTCTATAGCTTTCGCATATATAAAAGGTAAGCTGATAATGCCATATTTAAGGCATGATTTCCAATGACTTAAAAACAATGTTTTTGGATACATTTTACTTGAGTTTATTCCGAGGACACACAAATTTTGTGAGAACATTTCATAGTATGTGTCAAGTAATTCGTCAATGTCCTTAAGATTTTCCGATGATATACATGAAAATAGCATCTCGGCGATATCGACTTCCAAATGACCAAAGCATGCCATTTGCCAATCAAGAATCGATACGTTTTCAGGAATATCTGTGTCATCCTTAAATATATTTTTTATGAAAATAACAATGCTTATTAAACAGGTTTACAAATTTTTTAAACATAAACCAGACTATTTTTTCGATAGTTTTTAACCTTGAAATTGCTCTATCTGATCAGCTGATTTTCGAAAAATTAAATCTCAAAATTAAAAAGAGCATATTTTCTCTCAAACATTTGGAAAATTAATAAGAAAAACCTGACAGGATGGAGCCATTCAATTACAAACTTCGAAAAGGATACGCTAAAAAAGCATAATGGTAAAATATTGGGTTTTTAACTGCAAATGTAATTCAAGAACTAAATCGTTGCATTTTCATGTTTTGCCAAAGGATTTAATTAGGTACCTACGTATATTTGTTGGTGCAGAATACACTTATGATAACTTTACCTAATATAATTTATATTTAAGTTTAGACCTTTTTTAGAAATCTGACAAAAAATAAAAGTTGCCCAAACATAACCTTAAAATCAAACATTTTTATTTTTGAGTTCTGGAAAAAACGCCGACAACAGCATTTAAAAACAGTAAACGACAAAATATATCTACGGCAACCTAATATTATACTCTCTTAAAATGAATTAGTCAAAAAAGTAATATTTAACTAATTGTCATAGCGAAAAAGAAGTCACTAATAATTAGTCAAATTCTACGGATTGAAATAGTCAAATTAGTGGATTTAAATTTAAAAAAGTTTTGACCCAGCCGGGGATTGAACTCAGGTCTGCCGCTTGTCAAGCTTGTGAAGCTGTTGTGATAACGAATGTGGCTATCAGTCACTTATATAAAAATCAATTTTATTTGTCAATAAATATTGTTCATAATATTTTAAAGTTGAATATAATATTTGTGTTGCTGTTTTGAGCTAAATTTTTTGGGCCATTTAACCATGAAACCTATATGCATTTAATTCAAATAATACTTTGTTGTTGGCCGCAAACCATTAAAGAAATTAGTTACTTTTAACTCTTTGAAATAGTCAAAGATGGTGACTAATCTTAAATTAGTCAAACTTAACTATTTACATAGTAAAAAATAACTATTTAAAAGTGAAAACGACTATTTTATTAGTAAAAAATGCTGGTACTAATTCAAATAGTAGAATTTTGACTATTTCATTTTAAGAGAGTATAATACATAATACCTCTACCTTTAGCGTATAGTCTGATTTCAACAACATAAAGTTGGTTTTCATAAACCTTTTAGTGGCGCCGGCATGGGGGGGGGCAGAAGGAAGCAATTGCCCTTTTCCTGTAAAATTAAAATAATTTACAAAAGCGCATTTAAAGTTTATTTAAACGTTATTCATAAATACTTTGTTTAGCCCCCCTGGGTTATGTTCTACCGGTGCCCATGTTATCAATATACGTATATTAGACTGGGCCAAAAAAATTGACTACTTTTTTTTTTGAAAAATATATCGTGTATTAATTTTAAGAGGTCTATCATCGCTATTTTTGATTTTTAGTCATAATTTGATGTTTTACGTTAGAACTGTAAAAACATTAAAGTGAAAAAAATTCCTTTTCACTTATTTTTATATAAAATTAAATTCTCTACAAAAAATTTTCGTCAGACGAGCCGTTTCCGAGTAATTGAGCTCAATAAATCGATGTGTTTTTTCGATTTGCCCTTTTTACTTTGAAATTTTGTAACTAATGAATCAATGAATATTTAAAACAGCACACATCGGGTTCTTAAAGGAAATTTAATGTTCTACAAAAAAGGTCTCTTAATATTTTTGCCTAAATTTATTTCTTCAAAAGTTATTCACGATTAAAATCGAAGAAAAACTTAAAATTTCAATTATTTCTTCGTGAATAACTTTTGAAGAATTAAATTTAGGCAAAAATGTTAAGAAACCTTTTTTGTAGAACATTAAATTTCGTACGTAAGCTTTTTAAAATATTCATTGATTCATTAGTTACAAAATTTCAAAGTAAAAAGGGCAAATCGAAAAAACACATCGATTTATTAAGCTCAATTACTCGGAAACGGCTCGTCTTTTTTGTAGAGAATTTAATTTAATATAAAAATAAGTAAAAAGGAATTTTTTTCAACTTAATGTTTTGACAGTTCTAACGTAAAACATCAAATTATGACTAAAAATCAAAAATAGCGATGATAGACCTCTTAAAATTAATACACGAAATTTTTTTTGTCATTCTGAATGACATTCTTGATAAATTAAAAAAAAAATAGTCTTTTTTTTTGGCCCAGTCTAACGTATATATATATATTTAATGTTAAGTTACCTTATATTTAAACAAATAATTGTTATTCCAGCAATCATCATGTATAACAACCGAATACTCATCATCTATAAAACTGTCTTTTTTCATCTGAATAAAATCTAATTTCTTCATTTTATCAAGCAATTTTGTTTCACTACATTTTTCCAAAATTTCACAATATTTTTCTTGAAATCCTTTAAATACTGCTACACCGGGAAAAGTATCAAACATAAATACCTTTATATCGTTAATATATTTAACTTTGCTTTTCCAAACTTCAGGGTTTTCTATTTTAAAGGAATATGAAGTACTGTGCCATTTTGCATATTCACTCAACACAAGTTTAATGTGGTTTAAATCCATTGGGATTTTTACATTGTGTAACTTGTAACCTTTCGGCTTTATGTTTTCAAAAACAATAATTTCTTTGTCTTCCCAGAATTGAGATTTGTAGAATTTTGGAAAAAAATAAAGTAATTCTACATTTTTTTTGGTAAGATACTTTTGGAGGATTGGTACTATTGTTTCATATAGGTATGCTTCTATTTTGTAAAACCATGTTATTGGTATTTGTTTTTTATGTTCCACATTTGTCGAGCTGTGTTTTACAACAAAATTAAATTTTTCATTAGTTTTACTTTGGAAATCTGTTGCCTTAACGTAAATTATTATACCTGTACAACCTTCATCTAGTTTTGATGTTCCTTAAAGATAAAACTATAACTAGTGCATTTTTTTGTTAATGTGTAGGTCCTACTTACCAACTATATCTACTTGTAAGTCATTCTTCTTCTTAAAAATACTCTTTATTAATATTTTAATATCTTGGTCACTAATGCCAAATTTACTTATTTGATCCATGGTATTCAGTTAAAATACCTATCAGCAGCCACAAAACATGCAATAAAATTAAATTGTTATTCTTAAAAAGTATCACATCTTGACCCTTCTTATCTGAGATATGGTTTATTTATATAATACTTCTGATTCAGGGGTATTAAATTTCAAAGGTTGAGTTTTAGGACTAAGTTATATTAGGTCCGATTATATGCTACTTAAAAAGGGTGAAATATGCATAATAAATTATTGACGCCACATTTACTTATTTGATCCATGGTAATAAATTAAAATACCTGCCACTAGCTGCAATAACCATACAATAAAATTAATTGCTATGTTAAATAGTATATATCACATTTTGACCTTTTAATCGAAGATAGGGCCGGATTAAAGGCTGGGCTGGCGGGGCCGCTGCCCCACGTTAGGGGGCCCCCACAAACCAATTAGGACTATTAAAAATAACCACTAATTAGGTTAAAGCTTAGTATCTGCTTATTTAAACATTAAAAATTAAAATAATAATAATTAAAAAGCTACTTAGTAGAAAGTTACAAAAATTACGACAAATTAAAATAAAAAAAAATGTGCATTCGTTGCCAATATTTCTTTCTTATGTATTTTGACTCGTTAAACTTAAAAATCACAACAAAAAAATTTATGACAAGGTTTTGGGATAACATTTTTCTTTAATATTTTGATTCTTTAAGAAAGCAGCTTTAGAATTTGGGTCATATGGGCAAATTTTCGTTAAATGTACATTTGCTGTCCCCAGCTAATTTTATTTTTATTTTTAAATTTTGTTGATAAGTTTTGTATTTATTATATTTAAATACCCCCTTCCTGTTAGGACCCATCGTATTTTGTTTTTTAATTACTTTGTGTTTCTATATATAGCAGAAAAACTAGTTGAAATGTCCTGTAACCTAACTGTCCCCAGAGGCGATTTTTTAATTTAAATTATTATATTATTCTTCTTTGCAGCTTTCTTCTGAAAAAATAAATTATTTTTGAACAATGGAAAGTTCTTTTATTCTTATATAAAAATAAAATAGTTTTCTACAAAGTAGTTTAAACAGAAAAAAATACTAAAGTTGACATTCAAAAATCTTGTATTTTTCCTAACGTCGTCTTCTATGCCGACTGCTTCGAAATAGAGACACGAGATAGAGATACTATCGTGTTATTTCTAGAGGGCATACATGTTTGATAGTTCGGCAACAACAAGTGAGCACATGTAAAGTGTGTGATTTTTTTTGTAAATATTTTAAAGGTAAGATTTTTTTGCGTACACTTTTGGTGTCTTTTACAAAACGCTATATACAACTCTTGTTTTAGAAGTAAACTTTTTTATATTCATTTTGTATTAAATCATAGTAGAAATTCCAAACAAATGCCGAAAGATATTTAAATTTAACAGTATTTCTGAAAAATAACGTTTGAAAAAGTCAAAGCAATGTGTCATAAAACGTTCAGGAAGATGCGTTAGGAGGAGGACAATGTTTCATTTCTTTCTTGTCTTCCTTCCCTGTTTCAGATTAACCCTATAAGTTTTATTTCTATAAAGTTTATTTTTGTTATTTATAAACTTATAGAATTTTTTTGAAGTATATTACACTGTTCTATCAATTTCTTAGTACCCAATCAGTTAATAAGCTTAAGTTTAATGGGCTCAAATATTGAAAAAAGTGTGTTTTATTGGACAAAAATGAGAATGCAACATTAATTTCTTTGCCTACTCTCTAAAAATGAAATAGTCAAAATTCTACTATTTGAATTAGTAAAAGCATTTTTTACTAATAAAATAGTCGTTTTCACTTTTAAATAGTTATTTTTTACTATGTAAATAGTTAAAGTTTGACTAATTTAAGATTAGTTACCATATTTGACTATTTCTGACAGTTAAAAGTAACTAATTTCTTTAGTCGTTTACGGCCAACAACAAAGTATTATTTGACCCATAAAACAAATAAAGATGCAAAAAGTTTAGCTCAAAATAGCAAGACAAATAATATATTAAACTTTAAAATATTATGAACCATCCCAAGCAACACACTCATTTGCATAATCGTTTAATAAACGTATAATAAACCATTTAATCGTATATTTTTGGTTTTGGTATAATTATTTAACATATATTAAGCGTTTTTTATAAACGTACATATTTCAGTCGTATATTCTACGTACTTGATATACTAATTTAAAATCATAAAATTATCAATTTAATATATAAATTTATATTAATCACCCCATCTATATATATATTATAAAAACAACTATAAAGCATGTTTATATATAAATAAGAATTTGGAATTATTTACCCTTATCAAATTTGTTTACATTCAAGTGTTTTGTAAACGTTTTTTTTTATATATATACTTTTATATAAGCTCAACGTCTAAAAATACGAGAAATCTACGTCTATAAATTTTGTTGTTGTTGTAAGCCAAGTAATATTTAAATGTATTTATCACCGCTAACAAATTTGTTAGCGATAGAAACAATGTTTATGTCATATAGTATTAGCTGGATATTTGATTTTGTACCTAAATAAAAATAAAGTTGTCTATCGTTTTCCTAAAAATAAACGTTACTTATAGCTATAGAAAATTATTGATACCTAGGTATCAATAATTTTCTACTTCAGTTTTCATAATACTTGTATACATATGTTCATGGTTCGCACTGTTTCGGTATTACTCGTACCTAAGACGATTGTTTAAACCAATAGGCGCGTGTCACGTGATCATTCCTTCTAGACGCTTCGTTTTGCCGTTACCGGTCACATGTGTCCTGTATTGATAATGGCTGCCGTATAAGTTATGTTTACTGTTTACTGTGAGTGGATAGCGATTAATTTATTGTATTGTTTGGTGGGAATACAGCTAATAAAGTAAGTATACCTACTTTAATTGAAATTTCAGATTACTTAATTTGCACCAAATAACTAATAATTGGTGTTTTTATTTGACGAAGCCGGCAAAAATCCGTAACCTTTGCAGAAGTTTTAACCATGCGACATATTCGTTTTGCATTAAATTAGATGGTTTATTTTTGGATTAGGTTAACATCACTTTAGAATTTTTAAAATAATCAATATTTTTTATTTTTTTAAAGATCTATTATTGGTTTATGGTATACTATTTATAAACGAACATTATAACCACTTAAAAACACGAATTGTGTTTTTTTATTATTTATTATATTTTTATTTTACCACAGAATAAAAAGTTAAAAGTTATTTAAAATACGTAAACAGTCGCACTTTTTAGTAACATTGTTTTTTACTGTTTTACAGAGACAGTGAAACTGTCCTTTCAAGGAAAAGATCAAGTCCAGGGAAATAACTGACAAAGCCATAGGACAAGCCTGTCAAGATTGGCTCAAATTATCAAAGCAATGATTCAATGATGTTAAAACTTAACATTTGTTTAATTAGTTATTTTAAAATAATAAATAATTATTTATGAAAATATATTCGTTTGTCATCTGCTCAGTTTCTTTTTAAACTTTTTTTTTACCTTGGAGTTTCTACTACACTTAGGTAAGTTTTTGCAAATCTGGAAAGAATACCTATGCCGCACTTAAATTAAATGCAAAGAATAAATATAGTAAATTTTACTGTAATTTTAATTATCAATGCATTGATAACCGTAAAACCATGCATGGTTTTACGATTTTAATTTAATGAAAATGGAGCTAAAAATATTAAAAAATCATTCAAATATAAAAACTTTTGTTTTTATTTTCTTTTTCCAGATTAGCAGAGCCGCGGCCTAAACAATAATGTTATGTAAAAAATTTCACCTTAAAATAATATTCAATATTAACGTATATCGTTTATGGCTTTTAGAAGTTTTTGATAAACGTTCAATTTTGGTATATTATATATTAAAATGTAACCTTTATAAAAACAGATATTTAATTGTCAAGTTTGTATTATAAATAAACGTATAGTGTAGACGTTTAAAATATGGATATTGCTATAATATGCATCAACCTATATTAGGCGGACATTTTAACCTATATTAGAGGTAGACAATAAACCAATGATATACCATTGGTATAGACAAATATTAAACGTCTATTAGACGATTTTGTGTTGCTTGGGATATTTATTGACAAATAAAATTAATTTTTATAAGAGCGGCTGACAGCCGAATGCGTTAAGACGTTAGCTTGACAAACTTGTCAAGTGACAGACCTGAGTTCAATCCCAGGCTGGGTCAAAACTTTTCTCGATTTTTATGTAAGAATGTCATATTCTCGCACGCAAAATCGTTGAAGAATGAAGCTCATTCTTAAACGATTTTTGGTAACATTTAGTTTTTAAGTATTGGTACCCCCAAAATGTCAAATTGATTAATAACCTCAAATTCATTACTTTTATTGAAAATGAAGCCTTTATTATTGTTTTTGTAATATTAAGTTTGCTCCAACAATGCATTTTAATGCAAAATTTTAAGTTGAATGTAAAAAAGTGCAGTTCAGGTTGTACTTGTGCAGGATAACAAATATTGTCATTTTGTGTTGCCAACTGACATTTTGCGAGAAAAATCCCCTAACTAACAACGACCACAAAACAATTAAAAAAACCTAAATAAAAGTTAAAATCGAGAAAATAGTATAAATCACACGTTGCAGAAGGCTATTCTCGCACTCATTCGTTCGTCCACTCGCTCCTTCGTCGCTCGAGGCCAAATTTCGAATTCGTGCGAGAATATGTGGCCTTCTGCAACTTGTACTTTAATATACTATTTTTAAATTTAAATTTACTAATTTGACTATTTCATTTAGTGGAATTTGACTAATTATTAGTGACTGCTTTTTCACTATGACAATTAGTCAAATATGACTACTAATTAGTTATTTTTAACTAATTCATTTTAAGAGAGTAGGATGAATAAAAATCATTAAAGTATGTTAATTTTTAAATTACTACGTGAGGTTTAAACTATTATAAAAAGACAAGATATTTTCGAAATAAATCTATTGACTCACTCAATGCAAGAAGTGGACATTTCCATTTTTTCCCGAAATTTAGTTTT